CAAAGGATCAAATTCCTCAGTCATGTCCATGCTGACATTCTGCATGACAGATTCAACCATTTGGTGGATCTGAGTTGAATTGAAGGGCGGAGCCTGCGTTGGATCGTCTGGTCCGCTGATACACAACCAAGGAGATGCGTGTGCCAATAATCGTAGAGCTACATCCATCACGCTGTCGACAATGACAGGAATAGACATGTCTTCATTAGAAATAATGTCTTTGGCATTATTGCACACCTGCTCATCCGTTGATATGTCGAATCCAAAGGTTTCTTCAACCCAAGCCACGAATTCACCGTACGTGAGGTCCTCATTTTGTAAGAGGTATCTCAGGATATTCAGGAATTCGTCATCTGGATCATCGGGGAAGTAATCATCTGGAGTTGGGTCCCAGGGTAGATCAACAAACTCGATGCAGAAATCGTAGAATTCTTGAAGATCGGATCCCCTTCGAGACCAATCACAGACTTGACCAAGTTCTGGAACCAAACTGCCAATGTCAATCTCGGCGTCGTCGAGAAGGCCACACGAGGTGCCAATTGCCTCAGTGATTGTACCGGAATTGTATAGTCGCCCTACAACCTTCAGCATTTCTCTGATGAAGTTCTGCCACTCTTGGGGAATTATGGGAGACTCTCCATCAGGTTGCTGGGTGGCGCCAGGTCGTGTCTCTGTGCCCGCAGAGTCGGGATAGATGAGCATACGGAATACGGACAAATCTATCTCCTCTTCAACCGTTGGGTCGAACGCTCGGCTAATTGCTTCACAAAGTCCTTGATTGTTGTCAAAGCCAGTGATGTCGCCAACGGAAAATGGAAGCTGGAGAGACTCTTGCAGGAAGTCTACAAACGATGTGCAATAGCTTGCATCTCTCATGATAGAGTACATAGCTTCTTTGAATGTGTTGACCATACCGTCCAAAAGAGCTGGGTCTGCACCTTCAGCCACAGCCGCGATTGAATCCCGGCAGAGTTCATCACTGTTGTTATAATTTCCGAAAAAGCTGAACACGTCTCCCAGTAGTTTTAAGGGATCGAATTCCTCAGGCATATCTGCATGGAGGGATTCTGTCCAAAAGGGCATCGGAGTAGAGGTGAATGGAGGAGATGCTGTTGGAGCTGCTGGTCCACTGTCACACAGCCAAGGAGATGCGTGTGCCAATAATCTCAGAGCTACATCCATCCCGCTGTCGACAATGACAGGAATGGACATGTCTTCATTAGAAATAATGTCTTTGGCATTGTTGCATACTTGCTCATCCGTTGATATGTCAAATCCAAAGGTTTCTTCAACCCAAGCCACAAATTCACCATACGTAAGGTCTTCGTTACGTAGGATGAACCGCAACCATTCAAGAAATTCATCGTTCTCGGAACTGTCATCAGAATGCTCATTGTCTGTATCAGGATGGCCATCCCAAGGATATTTTACAACCGACAGGCAAATCCCCAGGAAGTCACTGCCTCCCTGAGGCTCCCTTGCCCAATCACAAAGTGGCATGAAATCTTCTCCCAGGAATGCACCTACTTTGCCAGTCTGGTTGAAGATACTGCACGCCTCCTTGACAACGTCTTTGAATGTTCCAGCATTTAACAAGCGTCCTGCCAGTTTTAGAATCTCTTGTTTTACAACGCCCCAATTGTCCCCTATCTCATTGAAATCATCAAATTGAAGAAGATTTTCCACTGCTGAGATATCAATGTTAACCTTCCTTGCAGGATCAAATGATTCCACGGTGGTTTCGCAAAAGTCACGGTTGCGGCCAAAACCAGATAAATTGGCAAAGGAGTCCTGAAGATCAAGAGACTCTTCCATAATGTCCAAGAATGTTTCACAGATGTCAACATCTTGCATCAAGTTGTGGACAGTTTCTTTCATGATGTCTACCATACCATCAACCAGTGCGGGGTTTGCTTCGTCAGTGGTAGCCTCTATAGACCTGCTACAGTATTCTTCGCTGTTCTCATAATGTCCTAAGAAGGTGAATAGCGCTTTAAAGAAACTAGATGATGCTTCATCGTCAGTGTTCATGTTGAAACCGGCTGTGATGGTCCTTGCTGAAGGTGGCATCTCACTCGATGGGTAAGGTTGTGTTTGTGTTGGTACAACGGATGGTGTTGGTTTATTTCCATAACATAGCTGGGGCGAAGCATGAACAAAGAAACGCAGAGTAGCAGCAAGGGCTTTATCAAACACGGCACGCATAGTGAAGTTGTCATTTGCAACGAATCTGTCGGCGTTCTCGCAAACTTGCTCTGGTGAGGCTCGTGGATGAGAAGCAAACAAGTTGTAGAACAAAGTGGTAACATCATCCCTGAACATTAGCATGCCATCAAACAAGTCAGTGATTTTAGGACCCAATCGACCATTAATGTCATTTCCATATGCCGGGAAAAAAATTGGCCACCAACTGTCGATGTTGTAAATGGTGTGTAACCATCGGCCGTCATCGAAGAAATTTTTGCACTCTTCAATCAGTGGAGCTGGGTCTGGGTCAGATAGGAGACTACACTCCCATTCAAGCTCTAGGCTGTCGAAACGAGTACCACCAAATACAGTGCATGGGAAAAGGGCGGCTTCTCTGATCGTAGCATTGAACAATTTTCCTGCTATTAAAATAAATCCGACCAGGTCAAGTTGTGGCTCGTCGAAATCACCAGTAAATAAATCTGACAATGATTCAGAGTTGTGACGACTGAAGGCATATTTTATTTTGCCACACATACTAGCTGCATCGGGAAAGGTTCTATCCATGCGGTCGAAAAGATCCATCTCTGTGTTGACAACTTCAAAAAAGGCACCGCAGAAATTTTCATCCCACGTTATTGACAGAAGCCTGTCTCTCATAGAAGTAATGCGATGTCTTATGGAGTCAACATAATACTCCGTTTTTATTTCTCGACACATCTCCTCCTTTGAAGGGAAACCGCCCAAGAATGCAAACATTTTTGCAACAAGTCTACCTGACAATGGCCCCAAATGTCCCCTCTCCCATGTTGATCCCGAATCTTCGGAAAACCACCAGTTTGGATCACCAGGGGGCCACATTGGGCGGTCAGTTACGCCATCAGTTGGACCAGGAGGCCATGTTAGAGAGTCGCCATTTCCGTCATAGGGACTTCGGGACCACATTGGTTTGTCAGTTACTCCATCCCCGGGACTAGGGGATAGGTCTGGGAAGTCACTCGCTCTGCTCCCCTCTCTTGGCGTAGGGGTCCAACTTGGATAGGGGCCTTCGCGTTCAGTGGGTGTTGGCGAATGGTTGGGATCGTCACTTGCTCCCTCAGACGGAAACCACCATGGTCGATCAGTGACCCATCCATCATTCCAATCTCCTTCACATAACTCTGGGGCTGATTGCGCTAAAAATTCCAGAATTTTATCAACGATCTTGATTGTGACGTCCCGAACAGTCATAGTATTTTCATGTATTTTCCAACCAAACCTTTCGCAGATAGCTTGGGAATCTGAATCGTGGAGATCAAAAATTGCCTCCAGTAGCTGCTTCACATTCGGAACGGGCAAGGAATCCCGACCTGTGTCATCAAAGCCGATTGTGCTGTCGAACCACTCAGAAAACCAGGACTTTAGAAGTTCTAATTCGGAAAACCCATTCAAATGGGCAAAGAGTTTGTCAGAGAACCACCAAGGATCACCATCTGGAACTGAAAAGACATCATCATCGGGACCTTCTGTTTCCACTCGATCACCCGAGCCTCGATCGTTATTGTCACCAGAATTATCCATTGGACTGTGAGGATTTCTAGGGCCATCCCCTTGGTCGGACGGATCGCTGGCGCCCCCTGCTGGATGGCGAAAGTCACCAGAGCCTTCAGTCGGATCACGAAGACCACTACCATTCTGTGGTTCATAGGAATCACCCGAAGGGCCTTCTGGATCACGAGGATCGCCAGAATCTTCTGCAGGATCTCGAGGACCGCTAGGCTCCACGGTATCACGAAAATCTTCCGAACCTTCTTGCGGATCACGGCGGTCACCAGAACCCTCCGTTGGTTCCCTAGAATCTTCTGAATCGGGATAAAATGATTCGTCCTCTGGGTTTTGTCCGCACAGAGCAAGGCATTGCTGGATGAGCTCGATTGGAGTGTCCATTTCTAATGCTGCACACATCATCCGATCAGCGGTGCTCGACATCCCATTAAACGACTGGCAAAGCCCAACAAAACCATTACGAACCGTACCACTGTTTAAAAAGCTGCCTACGGCCCGTACTATTTCAAGAATCCTGACTCCAGCTAATGCCATACTCGATGCATCCGCTGAAACCTGGAGGTCTTGATCTTGGCTTCGTAAAACTTGCTGAATGTTGTTACACATTTCCTCTACCGACGGATAGCCCATTGCTGAGTGGTAACCCATCCATAAGCCAGACTCCTCCAGCCGACCTATGACGTCAACACACATGTTCCTGTCATCAGTGAGAGCTCTCAGTAATGCGGAGGTAGTTTCATTGACAAGTTGGTTTTCTAGCCTGTCTGAGGACATGAATTCCCCAGCTTCGTGGCAGAACTGTTGGGTGTCGCCACGTCCAGACAAGGTGGTAAACAACCGGAGAAGTAGCTTACCCAAATGAACCTCCCCGTCATCAGCCTCGTCACAGGACAGAAGAGAAAGTGGGATCAGCCGCTTGAGACCTGTGAAAGTGACGTTTCGCACCAGGTCACGGCCAGAGAGAGATCGGTTATAAATTATGCTACCAAGTCTTATGCAGGTGGCAGCATTGTTTTCTGAGAAGCCGAGAACTTCTTTTAGAAATTGAATTGGGTAGAAGTAACCGATTCCTGGTACGTTCCAGAAACCTCTGGAGTCCTCTGAGGAATTGTCGTCAGCAAAAGGGTTGGCTTCATCGTCTGGTTGGTTTAACTGATCGTCATGCGGTAACATTGGCAGATCGTGGCTCGTGTCGTCATCGGATTCATTCTCTTCTAGCCCTGTCCAGATTTCCTGG